CACAATTATCCGTTGCTGTTATAACCGGTACCCAAGAACCGTGTCTCATCGACGTCATGAGGAGGTGCATATCATCATCGCGGTGTGGGTAGAATCGGCGGCTAGCTATAGGTTGTAAATTTAAGTATGTTATTTGTAAACGTCTTTGTGTGCACCTGTATATATGTCTCATCCTATTGATTTGGTTCGATTACGTAACCACCAGTAATTAACGTTTATCGGTCTACCGCCGTTGTACAATATTGATTATTTATAATTGGGTGCGTGTCGTTCCGGCACGGCTGTGCGATCGTTCCCCGATGTCTAATTTAAGTTATCACAACGCTTTACATATCGTTATAATCGTTTCAAATTGTTTTGTTATTATTGCTGATGTGGTGTAATCACTGATCAGCTGGTATGTAGATTTTACTCGCGTAATATATGTGCTATGACGACGATTTTTCCGTCCGCCGTATTTATTTCCGCTGTTTGGTTTAATAACAATGAAAATATTTGATCACGATTGGTAGACCGAGACTTAAAATTGTTTTACCCACGTTAGGTCCGTGCACACACTGACGATTAGCTGTAAGTTGCCCATAAGCTGTATGTCCCGCGGTGACCGGAGCGCACGTATATCGCTCGCGTTATAGGATGTCGCACGTCTGTGCATTTCCGTGACTACGTTTCGCATACGTGTTATTACTTATTAGGTCCTCGTCGCGATACGAGTGTGGTATAACAGGTGATAGAGTGTTGATATTTGGTGGGGTGAACAATTTATACATTTTGTCGTTCGCATAATGAAGTTTGTTTTTTTTTCTTTCGTCAAATTGTTGAGTCTATCTGCGTAAGGAATTATTTTATACATTTTGTTTTGTTTTTTTATTATTATATTTCAATGCAAGTCGATCGATGACATTCTGTTTGTTGCTTCTATATTTATTTCTTGCTGAGATAGCGCACTCCTAGAACAAGACTGCCACAACTCAAAATTCATGAATTTTGAGTTATGACTACTTTTGGATAGAGAAAAATAAGCTCTTTTAAATGCAAGAACGCCACATTCAATATCATTTTTCATTTAGCCACTATAGAGATGTGTCTGTATTGAATTATTTAAATATTGGTTAATTTTCAATGCAAGAGAGCCATATTTACTTTATGGCAGTATACTTATTTTTATTTATCCAAATTATCACTGAAGTCAAAATTCAAGACTGCCTTATTTCGACTTGTGGCGTTCTTGCACTGAATAAAAACTAATTATCGTGTAATATGTTGAGTGCAAAACAGCAATATTTAGAGTTGTGGCAGTATTGCATTTTATAATTTGTGATAGTGCAGCCACAACACGAATTATGACTGTATTGTATTTATAAATAGAATAGCTTTTCGTTTTGCGCCAAATTCTCATATCGATTAACAATGGTTATCATTATCAATCAATTTAATATCATTATCAATTGGCTTATAATAATTATTATCAGTATGTTTTTTAACTAGTAAGTACCATACATGGATACGCTTTTATTATTTCAAGTTCTAAAAATTAAAATCATTATTATTATTGTTATTAATATTGTGTGTTTAGTATTACCTAAAGTCTTAAAATGTCAAGATTCACTAGAAGCTCCAAAATGTTAAATCTAGTACTAGTAAATAAATTACAGAATAATATTAATATGTCGTCTACTGTTAACACAGAAAATCTTACCCAGGATATTAATTATGACAATACTATAGAAACAGGTAAGTGATAATATTATATTCAGCTAATCCTTAAAAGTTTTAATAAAAGTAATCAAATAGGTACCTTATATTAATATTTTTAAATACTTTTAAATTCAAGTATTTGAAGCAGTAGGTATTCTAAATAGTAAATACTGGTTGTTTGTACATATTAATTTTGTGTTTAATAGTTGTTTTTGAAGCTTAAATATAAAATAATTCTTTGATTGCATTTAAATAGTTGTAAGTAGCATGAATTATAAATAGGTATAAAGTTCATATAATATAAATACCTATCATTAGGTATTTTGTATGTATAATACTATAATATTATAATATAGGTACCTACACTATGATAACTAACAATATTAGTTATTGGTTAAATCATTTTCTAATGGTATAATATTATAATATACAAAATATTATTAACCAATAATTTTAATTAATATGTTATTGTTCAATATAGTAACATCTATTAATGACGAAGAAGTTGATATTACAAATAAAGTAATAGGCTGGTTAAATGATACACCTTCAGTGAGACCTGAATATGAGAACTGTAAGTAGAAGTATGCAATTTGTTTTTTTTTTTACAAACTATATAATTGTAATATTTTTTTAGTTGATTTAACATTAGAAACCATGAATCAAAACGAATCAAATGAATCTACACAACATTTCATTGAACTAGTTCCTATGGAAATTACTGATTCTAGTGGTAAATACCTAATAGTTTTATCTTGATCTCATTTTTATATAAACTTTATATTACAACAATATGTATTTTAATTACAGAAACTGAAGATTTTGATGATAGTGTGAAAGACAAAGATTGGAAAGAAGAGGTAAGCTCAGTAATATCATCAGAAAGTTCTGATGAACAAGGTATCATAAATGAAATTATCAATGAAGTCTGTGAATCAGCTATAATATCATTTCACATTGAAACACAAGAGAATATTATTCCAATTAATAAAAACAGTAAAAAGAGATTAAAAAATATAAAACAGTGGAGTAGAAATGTAAAAAAAACAAAACTAAATTTAGGCGAGGCTTATATAAATAATAGTGGCAAACAAGTTAATGAAAAGCAGTTATTACCCCCTTGTGATGCTGATAAATGCAAATTTAAATGTGCCACACTATTCACACTAGCTGAGCGTTCAAATGTATTAAATATGTTCTGGAGAATGGGAGATATAACTGCAAGGAGGGCTTTCATAATTAAGTATACATCACTAGTGACACCTAAATATAAATATATTAAAGAAGGAAGCAAAAGGCTATCAAACAATGCATTTTTCCTTCCATTAGATGATGTTAGTAAAAGGGTATGCAAAAAAATGTTTATGGCCACATTATGTATAAGTGATAAATTCATAAGAACTACTATAAAAAAATCAGCTGGTAGCAATTTTACACTAAATGACCTTAGAGGGAAACATCATAATCATAGATCATTAGATCTTGAACTTGTAGCTGGAATACAAAATCATATTAACAGTTTTCCTAGAATTGAATCCCATTACTTACGAAATCAAACTTCTAGAGAGTTTATAGATGGTTCATTGACTCTATCAAGTATGCATAATTTATATATTAAAGAATGTGAGGAAAAAAATATATCACCAGTCAAACTTTCAACTTATTCACATGTGTTCAACACAAAGTTTAACATAGGATTCTATGTACCCAAAAAAGACCAGTGTGGTTTGTGTGAAAAGTACAATAATAGTTCTGATATTGAAAAACAAAATTTACAAGATGAGCTTGAAGCACATAAAAATGAAACTAAATTATCAAGGTTTGAAAAAGAAAAAGATAAGAAGCTGGCTAAGGAAAATACTGAAAAGTATATGGTGTCTTGTTATGATTTGCAAAGTGTTCTAACTACTCCAGCTGCAAAAGTATCAAACTTTTATTATGCTAGAAAATTTGCCACCTACAATTTAACTGTATATAGTTTGGGCGAAAATGAAGCCAATTGTTTTGTTTGGAACGAAGATCAAGGTAAAAGAGGTGCCAATGAAATATCTACTTGCATTTACAAATATCTTATACAGAATTGTCTTCAGAAAGATACTATTTTTTATTCAGATAACTGTTCAGGTCAGCAAAAAAATAAATTCATGATTAGTTTGTACTTGTATGCTATTAACTATCTAGATATTCCTTCTATTACCCACAAATTTTTGATAGTCGGACACACACAAAATGAAGGGGATTCAGTACACTCTACAATTGAAAAACAAAAAAATAGGCTACTTAGAGGAGGGTCAATTTTTTCTCCCCTACAATGGCCTACAGTCATCCAATCAGCAAAAAAAACTGGAAAACCATTTAAATTAAACGAGCTTACACACACAGATTTTATAGATTTTAAGCAATTGAGTAAGGATATTGGTAATAATTTTAATAAAAACACTACAGGTCAAACAGTTTTATGGAGAGATATTAAAATTATTAAAGTAACAAAAGAATTCCCAGACAGATTCTTTTATAAAACAACTTATGGAGAAGCAGATTTTAAAGAAATTATAGTTTTAAAGAAAACTAGAAATTCAAAAATAAAATCATCAAACATCAACTTGAAATTTGCATTTTCTGAAGAGCCTGGAATCACACAGATTAAAAAAAAAGACTTAATTTCATTGTGTGAAGCAATACTTATTCCAGATACTTACCATAGTTTTTATAAGAACTTAAAAGTGTCTGAAATTAATAATACTAATAACAACGAAGAAAGTGATTAATTTATAAAATTATAAATTATATTTTTTATTTTAATTTATAACATTATACTCATCATAAGGTCATGATAATTATAATAAGTAACGGTTTTTTTATTTTGTTATGTTTGATTAATATTTTGTTATTTAACAATAAGTAACGGTTTTTTTATTTTGTTATGTTTGATTAATATTTTGTTATTTTGATACACAAAAATAAGTTTATTAACTTATTAGACAGGTAGTCATTTTTTTTTTTTTTATTTGATTAATTAAAGTTTTTTTAAATATGATTAATTACAACTGTTAATTTATTTAAGGATATTTTATTATCATACCTATACCATTATAATACAACAATAAATCAAATTTTAAATTACTAATAAATAATATAATTATATAAAAATATATTTTATTAGTAATTTAAATTTCAACAGTGCCACAACTCGATTTATGGCATAAAAATGTTCATGGCTTAAATTCAATACTGCCATATTTTAATAAGTGGCCATCTAAAAATCAATTTCTGTATGCAATACAGTCGCATCTCAAAATATGGCAGTCTTGCATTTACTTAAAAAATTGTAAATGGCCACAAGTCTAAATTTTTGGGTTTAAGAGTGAATTTCAAAATATTTGAAAAATTAATATTGTAAAGTATGGTTGTAAGTATTTAAGTGTTAAATTTCAAACGCATAAGTAAAAAATTCATTAAAATATCTTAAGTCCAAACTTCAAATTGATTTTTCTCAAAACTATAAATTTTGAGTTGTGACAGTCTTGTTCTAGGAGTGCGAGTTTCTGTTTATTTGAATTCAAAATATTACACCTACCGACCAAGGTTATTTTTTTAACATGTTACCAATTCGCTGTGTGTTCTGAGTGTCGTCCCGACGTACCGGTGATGATTTTCATCCATAATATTTCAGTAATTTTTTATTATTATCGAAATCGATATCTGTTGTTTTTTTGTTTTCTCGTTATTCATATACGAGTTACAGTTGTCCGAGGTCGCCTCACGTTTGACGATCTGTAATCTATATTTGTCTGAAATTGTGATTCTATTTATATTTATTTCGTGATTTCTTTCATTACCAATAAGCAATCGCTTCCGTTTTGGTTGTCTGTTTTTCGTTGTTCGCCGTTGATGTATGCAGCTGGCAAGCGAGAGACTCGTCCCCCCGACCGTTTGATCAATAGTCTATTCCAGCAAGATCAAGTCAAGATGGGGCCAATCACGAATACTACTACGTCAGATTTGACACTCACTACCCCGACAACGAGTACAACCATGGTTTCTTCGATGTCTGTGGCAACGACGTCTGTGGCTCAGTCAAAACTATCAGTCACTGAACAGTCTAAATCAGAATCAAGTGTCCAATCAGTCTCCCGTATTAAGTGCCATTGCTGAACGTTATTGTATGTATCGAGACATTTTATTCTATCGTAGGCATCCCGACTCTGATAGGTGGCTAGTCTGTGTGCCTCTACATCGAGTCGATGAGCTGATCTCGAAATTCCACTTGCATTTTGGACATGTAGGTCCGAAAAAATGTATTGCAGCCATCCGAGAGGTGTGTTATTTTCGTGGTCTAAGTGGAAATGTACGTAGGGTCGTTAAAAGTTGTGACACCTGTCAACGTGCAAAATTTAGCACCGTGAGGACAGAAGGTGAAATGCAACATGTACTAGCTAATGCACCCCTCCAACGAGTATGTGTTGATTTGTATGATCCATTGCCATCTGGGTGGAATCATGTTAAGTATGTTTTCGTTGTACTCGATTGTTTTTCTAGATTTGTCCGATTATTTCCTATAAAACGGTCTACTGCAGTTATAGTGACTAACCGCATGATCACCGACTATATTGAAGTCCATGGAACTCCACAAACCGTTGTATCGGATCACGGAGTCCAATTTGTTAGTAATGTATGGCGAGCTCGTCTTACTGCGCTAGGAGTATCTGTGACAACTACGAGCGTATATCATCCTCAAAGTAATCCGGCTGAAAGGGTTATGCGCGAGCTAGGTCGACTATTTCGTACTTATTGTCATCAGTCCCATACCGAGTGGCCCCGATACGTGCAGTATATTGAGTGGGTGTTGAATAATACCGTTCATGAATCGACGGGTTTCACTCCTAGCGAGATTTTCTTAAAAAACTGAAAGGTACAGTCCCATATATGAAGCTGTTGAATGTCCGCCGAAAGGTAGTGATGATTTTACCGTCAAACTAACCATGGCTGCCGAGGTTCAACGAACTAAGGCTGAGGAACGCCGAATCCGGCATGACCGTCATGGAAAAGCTACCATATTTCTGATCGGGGAAGAAGTGCTCGTTCGTGCACATCGCTCCTCTTCCGCCGTTGACCATCAGATAAAGAAATTTTTTATGTTATAAGAAGGACCGTATAAAATTGTAGATATTAAAAGCTGTAATGCGTATGTTGTAGCTGATCCCGTAACGGATAAAATTCGTGGAACTTTTAATATTATTTTTCTCAGAAAGTATATCCGACCTACTAATGCTAAGCCATCAGCGTAATAACGGCACGGATTAAGTGCAGCCCCTAATCAATCGTGTATAGTTTCTCCCTATTTCTTTCTGTAGAAGCGTCCAAGACAGGTCCAGGACCCTTCTACAGGGGGGGTTACTGTAACGGTCGAAAACCCATAACTATGGATATCGCATATTATACTAAGATAGTGTTCTCCGTCCCGCGGGCAGTTCTGCCCACACCGATTAAACACGCCGGTATCAGCAGTGTACACACACACTATCACCGCTGCCTAGTACCCGTGGTCGGGATTGACCGATAGGCATTATGTCATTATCATTATTTGTACACAAATAACTCGAATACCGACCAATTATTAGGTAATATGTTAATTTTCCGTGTGTGGTGTTCGACGCGTCCGACGCTTTTTACTTTCGTTGTGCCTCTCTGCCGGACAACATGATGTGTGAGTAGAACATCGCCTCACCGAGGACGTCCTGGGGACGATGCTCGGCATCACACACCGTTTTGGGTAATTTGTTTTTTGATTTATTTATATTACACCTTGGTCGGTATTTGTGGTGTTGTCTATCTATTATTATTATTATTATTTATATACGCCGGCAACCATGTGCCTATGTGTCGTGTTTTAGGTATACTGCGAGAATGCAGCTATTCTATTTATTATTATTATTTATATACGCCGGCAACCATGTGCCTATGTGTCGTGTTTTAGGTATACTGCGAGAATGCAGCTATTCTATTTATTATTATTATTTATATATATATTTGTGTTTGTCTATACGGTGACCTTTCTTTTTTTACGGCCAAGTTTTTATGCCGTGTGGGCTTTTCTTGGCCACAACGTAAATTTCTTTTTTATTATATTATTATTATTAAGATAAAAATACATTTATCTCGCCCATCAATCAGGTGTTATTATTATTTATTATTATGCTTCTTTATTATGATACAAATCCCACATGCTCCGATTCTCGAATCTCGGCTGTGGGTTGGCGACCTTACCACGAGAGTTTCGTCAATGTACGCTCCACCCCGAATCTGGGTATGCCATGGTGTGAGACGTTACACATTGTGTAATGCTTAAAACCTCAAGGTTCAAACACCAAATTTTGTTCCAAGTTTCTTTCATAATTTATCCAATTATGATGTTCATTTCATTGTAACTGAGCTTGGATATGACGCTAAGACAATTTCTGTAATACCAAATAGTGAGGAGAAATTCGTTTCATTTTCAAAATATATCAACAACAGCTTTTCAATACGATTCATAGACTCATGTCATTTCATGGCGTCAAAATTATCAACACTTGCAGACAATTTAATAACACCTGAGTTCGAAAAATTCAGAGAAACCACAAAAGCAATCATACCCAGAGATATGCAGCTCGTCACACGTAAAGGTGTATACCCTTACGAATATACTGATAGTTGGAACAAGCTCGAAGAAACGAATTTACCAGAAAAAAAACGATTTTTATAGTACATTGACTGAAGAACATATAAGTGACGAAGAATACGAACACGCAGTATCAGTATGGAACCACTTCAACTGCAATACACTTGGAGAATATTCAGACTTGTACCTGAAGATAGACGTTCTATTACTGGTGGACGTATTTGAAAATTTCCGAGACCTGTGTTTAACCACATACCCGAGTAGCAATTACTGTGCTATGATTGTGTCAAATCATCAATAAATTAATTGTGTAGAACACGGTGTAGTTACTGTCCTGCACTGTGTTTTCAGTCATTTTGAATACCAAATTTTTACATGGGTAGCACTGTGCACTCAGAGTGCTATTATCAGTTCAAACACTGTGTCATGGTACAATATTTTAACGGAGGTTTTATTGGGTAAATGCCCATCGTACAACCGTGTAACAGTCAGTTAAAGCACTGTGCAACTGTGTTAATATTTCACCATGTACTTATTGGGCATTTGTCGGTTGAAACACCATGTACTGTATGTGTGTAGGTCTGGTTCAACACCGTGCAACAGTGTATTAATTAACTATAGCTATACGCCCCAGACCCGTATTTAGAAATTATGCGCCCCGGGCGCATTAATGAAATTCCGCCCTTCTTTTTAGTAGCATGGAGGGGGATGTCTAATGTTAAAAATAAAAATTATGAATACTTATATAAAATTATAAAACATAACTTGTATTTTAATAAAGGAACCAATTCACTTTAGTTACCTAGCGTGAATAAATTTCCACTAAATCACAATATACATAATAAAAGGAAAAACTATTTTACATCATTATAAAAAAAAGTTCATGAAAATTTACCGTCCTCCAAGTTCCACCATGAGGAGCGCTATGATCCATCCTGGCACTCCCCTAAGTACAGGCCTGGGCCTATATACCAGCTTATATAATTATTAGAGGATACTATATAACCACGCGCGAGTTTGTTGTCTCTGTTTTACCTGATACTACCTACAACGTACGACAGCAAATTTTCGATCACTATAGTTTCAATAGTGTGCTGTTTGTTTTTAAATTAGAATAAATTGCCTATTATTAAAACTTAAAGTAAAAATCTCAAGCGTCA